TCCGTAAGGCCTTTTAAGATTATTCCAAAGGATGTTGAGCAGAAAAGTAACTTGATCAGATCTGGGTAAGAATACAGGTGGATGGATGGAAAATAGATTGGAAGGGAGGAAATACAAGGCTGCTGAGATAGGGAAGAAAAGACTGTCAAAGATTTAAATAACAAAAGGCAGGAAAAGAGAGCAACGTTTAATTTTAGGTTTTAAAGTATGTAAACAAAGATATCTTGAGAGTCAGTCATACCAGCACACAGACCACGTTGAACTGCTGACATACAAGTTCAATGAATTTGATTTTTAACGTTAAGAATGAAAAACTCTGAAAAACAAAAATACTCCTGTGTCTTATCATCAATGTGCCAATCAAAAAAAAAAAATCAGTCCTACCACTCTTCAGATAAAATGTACTTCTTAAGGATACAACACAAAGTCTGTTTCATTCAACCATATCTACCCAGTACCTAAAGTCAGGCAGAGCCCTTTAAGTCCTTGTTGAACATTTGTGGAATCTATGTGCACAGAGGTACACAAAATGAAACACTGCAGGTGAAGTGAGAAAACTGTTCTATCACTTTTTCATGTCAACTGAACCGCACGGTAGAGACATTTTGACTCCAAAATACATTATTTAACTCTTTTACCAACAGCCAACACTTAATAAATTCTGCCCAAAGGGAATTTGTTTTCAGATTCCAACATCTTCCTTGAAGCCAAATCTTAAATCCCCTAAATAAAAATAATCTTTGGGGGGCCAGCAGGTGGTGTGGTGGTTGAGGCGCTGGACTCCCACATGGCTGACCACAGTTTGAGTCCCAGAACCAGTAGCTTGAAAATCATGCCAAGCGCATGTGCCCAACATCCCAAGAGGAGAGTGGAGGAGAAAGGATGGTGGCATGGCCATCCTCCCCAGGAGGTGATGTCTCACTCTCTATCGCTCTGTCTCGCTGGCAATCACACATGCCCTAGAGCAAAAATCTCTAAAAAAAGGAAAACAGAAATAGTCTCTGGTTCTCCCAATACGTGTTTTTCTACAACGATCCTCCACTGCTCCCTCCTGGGCAGCACTTCTTGGCCACCCCAGGTTCGGCTGCCATGAGTTGAGGGGTTGCATGTACAGCAGTGTCCACCCCTCCACAGGGCACAAGTTACCACCCTTCCAGCATCTCTGTGATGCCATTTCTGCTATAAGTCATGAGGGAATGGCTACCTCAGCCTAGATTTCAAAGGATGGAGCTGCCCAGAGCCTCAGGTGCATGGCCCTGGCGCAGGGCCACAGGGAAGGGGAGGCCACTGCAGAGAGTCCCCACTGAGGCAAGGCCTAATGAAGCCATGAGAGCAGGGCATACCTGACTAGCAAAGCACCATGTGCCATCTTAGTCTGGTAGAGCTCCAGGTAGGCAAGTCTAACCCACAAGAGCTGCAACAGGAGTGGGACCACCCAGTCATGGGCACTTGAAACCTTGAAGCCTGTCCAGTAAAGCTTCAGAGGCAGGGCCTCCACCCTAGTGGGCCTACATGGCAAAGCCTTATACTAAAAAAAGATTAAACTCAAGTCGTAAGCCTAGGGACTTATCTAAGACCTGGTTCCCATTTCTATTTTCCTGTTTCTACTCTTGGGAATGGGATGGTCTATTCTGTACCTGTTCCAGCAGTGTACTTTGGAAGGACATGACGTGTTTGATTTTGTAGGTTCACAGGTAGAGGGAATTTGCCTCAGGATGAATTATACCTGAGTCTCACCCAGATCTGATTTAGATGATACTTGCCTGACTTTGGACTTCAGAATTTTGAGTCGATGCTGGAATGAGTTGACTTTTGGGGCTACTGGGATGGAGTAGATATATTTTGCATGTGAGAAGGACATAAATTTTGTGGGGCTAAGAGAGAATGCTCTGGACTAAAATCTTATGCCCCCCTCATATTCATAGGTTGAAAACTTGACTGCCTCCCCTCAAGAGATTGTATTAAGAGGTGTAACCTGTAGTAAGTGATTAATTCATGAGTGTGGAGCCCTCATGAATGAGATTAGTGCTCTAACAAAAAAGGCCCCAGAGAGTTGCCTTGCCCCTTCCAGCAGGTGAAGACACATGAAAAAGGTCCCATCTATGAACCAGGAAACAGGCCCTCACCAGCACCAAAACTGCCAGGGCTTTGAACTTTAATTGCTCAGCCTCCAGAACTGTGAGAAATAAATTTCTGGGTTTTGTTTGCTTGTTTGTTTATTTTTCAAATAAGATACCCAGTCTATGGCATACCCAGTTATGACTGTTACAGCAGTCTAAACAACTAAATCATGTATTACATTTTAAAGTATTTTTGTTCAGACTGCAGAAAAGAGCAGTCTTTTGTGGAGAATAAAGTTTGTATGTGTCTTTTTTTTTTTTTAAAGAATTATCTGTTCAACTTTATTGATTATTATTATTATTCTTTTTTATTTGACCAGAGAGAGAGATGGAGAAAGTGAGAAAGCAATCCTCCAGGTCTGGGATTCAAACCATGGTCAGCTGTGTAGGAGTCCAGTGCCTTAACCACCACACCACCAACAGCCCCTGTTTTATGTCTTATATGTGTGTGGCAAGTATGTAATTCATTCCTATAGAATGAATGCCTTATCTCTTGTAACGGGTCTTTATAACACATAAAACTAAACCAGACAGAAGACACCACAAAATGCATTTGACCTGTTTCTATGGAAGAGTGAAAGCCTGTTGAAATTGCATAGTAGCGAAACTGTGAGTACAGACAAGTGAAACGAGCGGTCAGCAGGCCCAGCAGTCGGCAGGGTATAAATTATCTACCACTTACCGTACAAACACAGTCATTTCGGCTCGGTCTTCAATGAAGACATCTGACTCTGAAGGCCTGGGCGGATCAGATTGCTGATCAGAGGGGATATACAGGGAAGTGGTAATGGTAGACTCACTAAAAGGACCTGAACCGGGTTCCACGTAGCTTGTCACTGGAGCCGTCATCTTTATTTTCATCTCTATGCCATAACAGTGAAAACTAGTTTAGTGTACTTATGACTACTTTTAAAAACTTAACCTGTCCTTTTTTTTTAATCTGAGTTTTTTTATTTACTCAACACTATTGACATAAATACATCTTTGCCCTTAAGATAATTTTCATCTTAAGAAAAAAAGGCTAAAATTTCTCAATTAGTCACTGCCGACACTGAACACTTTCCATACTATTGATATGTTTGGTTAATGAAGTCTACATACTTAGAGATAAAGGGGAAATAAAAGGCTACACGTCAGTGGATTCTTTTTTCTGTAGGATTCAGAGAATGAGGTCCCATAAGCTGAGCTGCTAAAATATACATAGTGGCAGAGCCAGGATCAAAAGTTAGGACCTGAGGCTCGAGACTCCTCACCTTTTACCTGGGAGCCTTTTACCCTACCAGCCCCCAGATTCTCCAGAAACACAAGCGGGGAGAAGGACTTTTCACTACTTACACGGAGCCCCGGATCACCCAGCAAAAGGTGGAAAGTACTACCCAGGGCTCTCCTTTTCTTTTCTTTTTTTCTTTTTTTTTTTCTTTTTTTTTTTTGAGAGGTTTTTGCCATAGGGAGCGGTACAGAGAGACAGAAAGCGAGAAATCACCCCCCAGGGGGGATGGCCACACCGCAATCCCTTCTCCTCCATTCTCCTCTCGGGATCTTGGGCACATGAGCCCACGGCCCGGCGTGAGTTTAAGCCACCGGGGCCGGGACGTGAACTGCGGTCCACTACGTGGGAGTCCAGCGACAGAGCCATTACGCTAACTGCTGGTCTCCCAGGGCTCTCCTTTTCTAACCATCGCCAAGGGTCTTGAGGAGGGACCTGGTATGAAAACACTGTCTTCGATGATCTGGCTATTTTCTATTATATAGAGTATTTCTTCAGTAAGCTGAAACTCAGTGATAAACCTAGGGGCTCAGTCACAATATATCAATACATCATTACCAGAAAAATCGCCTTTACCTTTCTCATTTTTGCCTTGAATGTAGCTGTTCAGTTTTGAAAAGCCAGTCTGGATGGCTGAATCCCAGTCCATAGACTCAACGGAAGTGCTGACCCACTTGGCTGGTCCATAGCGGCGGATCTCATAACTTCCGGGCTAAAATCGTACAGAGAGAACTTCGAAACGCAATTCGAAGAGGGCAAGTCCTGTGATGGGACGATGGCGGTGCCCCATCTTAGGTCAAGAACTGCCTGGGGCCGGCCTGGAGCTGGTGCCGGGTCTGGCCTGAGGTCCGCGCCCATTAAAGGCCAGGAGAGGCCTTTTCCCGAGGTTTGCCCTCTCCTCGGTATTCCGACAGGCAGCGGTCCCCTAGCCCCACACGATCTCGGGGGCGCTTAAAACAAAACAAGCGTCCACCGCAGTCCCCAGCCCGGAGGAGGGTCGGGTCCCACCGCGAGGTCTGGGACGTGACCCGTTCCCTCCTCCCTCCTGCAAGGACTAGAAACAGGCGTGGCCCGCACACGGGCGACCGAGTTTTCCCATCGCGCGGGGTCGAGGCAGGGACTTGGAGCATTTTGAAAACTCTACTACCTCTACGGGCCCTTTCGGCCTCGCTGCCATGCGCTGCCCGCCCGCCCCGACCCTCCGCGCCCACCCGGCGCCTA